TTTCTTTTATCCTTCTAAATATTTAGATAACTTAAAGTACTTTATGAATAGTACTTTACAGTTTATAAGTACCTTCACATATATTGTCACTTTTAATTTTCCCAGTATCCTTACAGGAAAAGGATGTTATAAAGTTATGGAAGGTTTTATTATCCTCACTTTATAGATCTCTAAATTGGGGATAAAATATCAAATATGCTCCTACATAAATGGAGGTAATCAGCCATAGAAAAATTAAGAGTCTGCAATTTCAAGTTTTGTTGAATTTATTGCATTGCACAAAGAAAGACTATGACTTCTACTCCACAATAATCCCTTCTATCTCCTTGTTTCCCTGTGTACATGTCATTCTCTTTATTGTTTTTGATCTTTGACTCTGTCTTCACTTCCCTCACTCCTTTTATGTACTATTGTCCTGAACATCCCTATTTCTCTTAAATATCTAAATCCTACCATCATTTAAGATCCAACATAAGTTCCACCTCCTCCAGGAAGTCTTCCAGCCTCCACTGTTTTTACTTAACAAATATAGCATTTACAGAGATTGTTTCTTAAGTGTTTAATTTATGTTTATCTAAATTCTTCTACTGGATAACAAGCTCCTGAGACCAGAGACCAAGTCTTATACTTCTTTGAAACTCACAACACTCTAGCACTGGATATGTATATTGTAAATGCTTGATTAATATTTGGTTATTATTTAATCAACTTAGTAGAAACATCCATGTGGCTTGTAATTTAGCTTGTGTAATCACTTATTATAGTTGAGTTTGGTGTGGATTTTTCAATATGTTCATACACCAATTGACCCTAACATTGATTTCTAATTATCAATAAAACCCAGGCATATGACCCATGGGATCAAATTAACTACACATGCATAATCGATTCCCTAAATAGAGCAAGCATTTGGCCCATACATTAGAATTGAGAACAGGAATAGGAAACACTACGCAGTGATTGCTTTTCTATAGAATTACATTAGCATTACCAGTTCGGCTAGTCATGATTTCTCAGCAGATCAGGAATATCTATCAATGGTAGTTCCTGTAATACAGTGTATGAAAATGCATTGCATTATGCATTATACATGCTACAGATCAAGCATATTATCTTGACAAACTTAATTTTTAAGAAAGAAATTTTATAGGAAAATAACACACATTAGGGTCATTTTGTTAAAAAAGGATGTCACCGTATGGCAATTTGACTCTTCTGAAATATAAGTATTCTGTTTAAACAAATAATTGCTTTTGTTTATATTTTAAGGTGAATTTGGAGAAGTGTGCAGTGGGCGTTTGAAGACACCAGGGAAAAGAGAGATCCCAGTTGCCATTAAAACTTTGAAAGGTGGCCACATGGATCGGCAAAGAAGAGATTTTCTAAGAGAAGCTAGTATCATGGGTCAGTTTGACCACCCAAATATCATTCGCCTAGAAGGCGTTGTCACAAAAAGTAAGTTACTGGTTTTCTTTATTACTTCTTTCAGATATCTATTTCAATTCCTTTAGGAAAAAGAAAGGCTTAATAATAATATCACAGTCATTAAGGGAATAACTTAGTTTGGATATCATCTTCTGATATCACCCCTCAGTGTCTTGATCCTCAGCTTTGACATTATCAGAGTTTGCATTGGTCACCAGACCGCTTTGAAATGACATTACCTGTAAATCATTGCTAACTTCCTTTAATGAATCAAGAGCAAAGTGTTATATATATTTTTCTA